GCAACCACAAAGTCTAAGCTAAAATCCTCCCAAGGATGTTCAGCTATAGGCAAAGGCATGTATGGGCCTACCTTGAATTGACTCTTTGATCTTTGACATGAACCGCACTTTTTAATGAGGGCCTGAACATCACTCAACATTTTAGGCCAATAAAAATACTCCTTGATGAACTCTAGGGTCTTAGTAACCCCAAAGTGATCTGCCAACCCACCACTATGTGCTTCCCTCATGATCAACTCCCTAAGACTCCTTTTCGGCACACACAATTTATTCCCCTTAAACAAATAACCATCATGCATGACATGCTCCTCAAAACCAGGTTTTCCACACTCAACCATACACATTTTCATCTCATCATCCGCATCAAAACACAATCTCATCAATTCAAAACCAAGTGCCTGTGAATCTAGTAAGGATAGAAGGCATACCTCCTTGAAAGTGCATCAGCTACCACGTTGTTTACTCCTTGCTTGTAGTTTGAAACAAAGGAGAAGGATTGGAGTAATTCAACCCACTTAACATGTTTAGGATTGAGTTCATGTTGGCCATTGATGAACTTCAAGGCTTGATGATTGGAATGGAGTACAAATTGCCTTGGCATAGATAATGGCTCCAATGATCTAATGCTCTCACTATAGCATAAAACTCCTTATCATAAATGTTATACTTCTTCCTTGACTCATTGAGATTCTCACTAAAGTATGCAGTAGGCCGTTTTGATTGAGTAAGGATTGCTCCAATGCCAACACCACTTGCATCACACTCAACTTCAAACACTTGATTAAAATCTGGCAATGCAAGGATAGAGGCTTCACACAATTTTCCCTTATTCAATTCAAATGCTTCACTTGCTACCTTAGTCCACTTAAATGTTCCCTTCTTAAAACACTCAGTTATGGGAGCCATAATGGTGCTAAAATTAGGCACAAACTGCTACTAGAAAGAAGTCAACCCATGAAAACTCTGAACTTCCGTTATGGAACCAGGTTGTGGCCAACTCCTAATAGCTTCAACCTTAGATTGATCCACTTGTATTCCCTCACCCAAAACTACATATCCCAACACAACTTTCTTCATAAACAACTCACATTTTTCAAGCTTAGCATAAAGCTTTTGTCTCTTTAACACTTCAAGAACCTGCCTAAGATTATTAATGTGGTTCTCCTCACAACTACTATAAACAATTATATCATCAAAATACCCAACCACAAATTTTCCTATGAAATGTTCTAATACCTCATTCATCAATCTCATGAAGGTGCTTGATGCATTTGATAGGCCGAAAGGCATCACCATCCACTCATACAAGCCTCCCTTTGTTTTGAAAGTCGTCTTCCATTCATCCCCTTCTTTCATTCTAATTTGGTGATACCCGCTCCTTAAGTCAATCTTGGAGAAAATGGTTGTACCATGGAGCTCATCCAACCATGGTATAGGGTACCTATACTTAATGGTTATACGATTGATGACCCAACTATCTATATACATGCGAAAAGTACCATCTTTCTTGAGTACAAGTAGGGCTGGAACTGAGCAAGGACTCATACTTTCTTTCACAAATCCCATAGAAATCAACTCATCAATTTGCCTTTGTAGCTCTCTTACCTCTTGGGGGTTGCACCTATAGGCTGGCCTATTAGGAAGGGGGCACCAGGCACTAAATCAATCTAGTGTTCTATACCTTGAAGTGGTGGCAATCCTTTAGGTAACTCATTGAGAAACACATCAGCAAACTTACTCAAGAGGGGTTGGATTTTTGGGTCGAAGTAGAACTCCTAAATTTCCTTGTTCTCTTCAACAATAAGGAGTGCAATGATGGTTTTTTGTTTCTGGAAGGCTTTTTCTAGTTGGGTACTATTTAGGAGAAGGCTTTTATGTGGTGGTTCTTTGGGTGGTGTTTGGGAAGGTGTTTGGGCAAGTGTTTGAGTAGGAGGCAATGGTGCTAGGGTTATGGTTTTCTTGTTGAACTTGAATGAGTAAGTGTTATTCCTACCATTATGATTCACCTCTCGATCACACTACCATGGTCTACCAAGTAGGAGATTACATGCGTCCATGGGAATAACATCACAAGTCACCTCATCCGAATACCTCTTACCAATGGAAAATGGCACAACCACTTGTTTAGTAATCTTAACCATGTCACCATTACTTAGCCATTGCAACTTGTAAAGATGTGCATGACTAAGTGTAGGGAGTCCTAACTTGTCAACAAGTATGGTAGAGGCTACATTAGTACAACTTCCGCTGTCCACAATTATCGAACATACTTTCCCTTTTATAGTGTACCTAGTGTGAAACAAATTCTCCCTTTGATTATCTTGGGAATTAACTTGAGTATGCAGCAACCTCTTAAGCATCAACAAATCTCCCTGATCGGCCTCCTCAATGACCTCATCTTCACTCTCACTTTCTTCATTTTCTTCGCTGGATTCTTCTTGGAAAGCTTCATCAATTGCTTCAATCTCCCTAAGAGTCATAACTCTTCGATTTGGGCAATTTGCTTGAAAGTGCCTATAGCATTGACACTTGAAACACTTTTTATTTTTCAAATTAACTCTTGGAGCTTCATTCTTTACAAAATTCGTCTTCTCTTTTGGTGCTTCATTCACCTTGTTTTTACTATAACCCGTTGGTGCTACATAAGGCTTGGTATGGGAAGATGATCCTTTTTGGTAAGAACTCTCCTTAAAGAACTTCTTAGGGGTTGTCGATTTCATACTCTTCAATTGATTTTCCACCTTTGTAGCCAACTTATACACATTTTCAAAGGAATGGTAGGTTTGCAACTCAATCTTGTGTATTATATCCCTAGTCAAGTCGCCAAGGAATCTAGCAATGGTATGCTCCTTTTCTTCGGGGATATCACTCCTTAACATTAACCCTTCAAATTCTCGAATGTACTCTTCAACCCTCCTATCTCCTTGCTTCAGATTGTGTAACTTAAGATAAAGGTCTTGTTTATGGTGATTGGGCAAGAACCTCTTCTGAAGCACTCTCTTCAACTTATCCCAAGAACGATTGAATTGGAACCTTTCCTTCCCTTGCTCTCTTCTTTTTTGTGTTTTCCCACCATAAAGAAGCATAATCTTTGAATTTCAGTATGGTTACCTTACATTTCTTCTCTTCATTAAAGCCTTTAAACTCAAATACTCTCTCAATTTCATGCAACCAATCAATGAAATCATTAGGATCTGAACTCCCATTGAATTCAGGCAAATCCACTTTTAAACCCCTATCATCATCAAAATTCCTCCTCCCTCTTCCATGCATTTCAGACTCACTAGAGGAATAAAGGCTACCCTCAAATTCTTCTTTATAGGGTGGTGTCCCAATGACAGTTCTTTGGTGATAGTGTGGGTGTCTTCCTTGGTTCAATTGATAATCTTGTTTTTGGGGGGTTTTTGTTTGGTTGACAGTTTCATGAGGTGGGGGTGTGTGGTGTGCGGATTGGTTGTTTATGGGTTGTGATTGGGTTAATTTGGCTATATCATTGGACATGTTAGCCATCATCTTCATCATGATGTCCATGTTTTGCTTAATGTCATCAACTTCCCCTTGTATCCTCATGTTGGCAAGTTCCCATGGTCGGGAAGGTAAAGAAGAGCTACTTCTATTTTCCATTTGGGTGTAGGATGGGTTAGGCTAGTGTTTATGGTTAAATAAGGGTGAAAAAAAATGTTTTGGGGAAAAAAGTGAAAAACTGTAATTTTTGTGAACAGTGCCCTGGTCGGAACAGTACTTACCGGACAGTGGTGGAGCTTTTCTGGTGATGGATAATGTTGGTGGAAGCAATCGGGTTGGGTTAAGTATTTGGGCTTAAGTGTTTAATGGATTTTGCATGTAATTTGGGCCAAGGGTATTTTGGTCAATGCATGTGCTACAAGTGAGGGTAAAAAGGTCAAGGGTATTTAGGTAATAGTGGTGTAGTCTAATTCTATTTGTGGGAAAAGTACTTTTGCTAAAAGGGGATGGGAATGGATTAGTGGAAGTAATCCTATTTTTAGTAAAAGTGATTTTACTAAAAATAGTGGAACAAGGAAGTTTGTAATGGATGTGCTTCTCTTTTTAGTAAAAATGCTTTTACTAAAATATGTGGAACAAGGATTGCTTTGGGGAAAAGGTTGTTTCCAAAAATGGGATGGAGTGTTCAGGGGTTTTGTGATGGCTAAAAATGGCATGGAGTGTTTAAATTAAATAAACAAAAATGGGATGGAGTGTTTAAGGTTTTGTGATGGCTAAAAATGGCATGGAGTGTTTATATTAAATGGACAAAAATGGGGTGGAGTGTTTAGGTTTTGTGATGACTAAAAATGGCATGGAGTGTTTGAATTAAATAGACAAAAGAGGTATGAAGTGTTTAGGTTAGTGTGATGATGGGTTAAATTGTTCAATGGGTAAAAGAGTGGTAGGTGAGTTTGAAATGGGTTCAAAGAAAGATTGGGTGGTTTGAATAAGTAAGAATCTGGCCAAATGGTGAACGGAATTCCGGCCAAACTTCTTCTTCCCAACAATAACACAAAACAACTTAAAAACTTCCTCAAGAACAAATCAACTTATCACCCGAAAATCGGCTAACTCCAAAAACTTCTAAACTCCACAAAACTCAACAAACAGCCACCATACACATACACAACCTAAAGCTTTGATACCAAATGATCCCATGAAAACTCAACAAAATATCACATACATGAATCGGCCAAAGCAAGACTCTTCACAACCTTCATTCACGTTTCAACTATCTAAGGTATTTCAACTCCAAAATCATGCAAACACAAAAGACATTCAATCAGATTTGAACAACACTAACTATCACTAGAAATTCGGCCAAGGTAAGATGAGACACAAGGGCACTTACTTGAATGAAAAAAAAATGGATACAGACAAGAAGAATCTTCAAGGATAAAGGATCTCTTCACCAACTTGAAGTTGAATCACCTCCAAATCCCTTGTCAATACTTGGATAAAGATTTCAAAGTAAAAGGAAAATCATTCCTCTCAAGTGTTTAATTTCTATTTCATTGTTCAACCTTACAAAATGAGAGAGGCTTATAGTAGCATTACAAGGGTTATTAACTACTTAAGTAAAATAAATATACCACCTAGGATAATTAACTAAACGTGACAATATTTAATTAAATCCTACTAATAAGAGTGCATGAGTTTGGGCCTTGGAATTCATTGAAGTGACCTAAAAAAGAAATAACATGGGAATGCTCTTTGGGCTTGGATAATAGGCTGTTTTGGACCTCTTGAATGCTTGGGCATTTTCTTTGTTGGACTTGGACTTCACTTGAAGAATTTGTGCTTGAATGGGCTTGGGCTGAAATATCTCCTTTATGCATATGGGCTGAGTTGTTTTCTTGCATAATTTGGGCTAATTCTTCTCCTTGAGCTTGAGCTGAATCTGACTTGCCTTCTTGGACAACTTGGGCTAGCTTTCTTTCTTGGGCTTGGACTGAATTATAATTCTTGTAATCCACATGTCATGTACCAAGTGTTTTAGGATTTGGATTGGCTTTTTTTTGTTTAACAGAATTTGCAAGTGTGTTATGACTTGTAATTTCATTTCCACTAAGTTCACAAGTGTTTAAGACTTGTAAACGGATCAGTTAGTTAGAACAATAGCTCTATAACACGAAACACAGTTACAAAACTGTGGCCTTACGCCCCTGCAGTAATGGCACATCAACGTACTCACCTAAATTACAGAGATTCTAAATATATTCTTGTTTAATATGTCAAATTCTGGTTAACTATACCTGTTTCCTCCATGTTTCAACACTGAATGCTTCAATTCTTGCATCTGAATTTTCAAGGCCATTCAATACTTAAAACACTTACATTATTCATCAATCACTTGGCAGGAAGGACATAGGCGTAGACAGCGAAAAAGGCTTGAACCATGGTGAGTAAAAGGAGTATGAGAGCCGCCACGGCTGACATGAATGACCACGGAGTGTCAAAATAAGTATGCTTAAAACTTGCCCATCTAACATACCAATTGTTCCTGTAATGCTCATTCACACCTTCAAACAATTCTGACAAATAGTTTCTCTGTATGTCAAATGCCACATCCTTCCCAACATTGTTGAAGAATCGAGCCACTTCCTCATCGGTCCCGAAGTAGTTTTCGATGATCTTCTGATCGCTTAAGAACCCTGCGTCGCCGGGCGTGTTAATGAGACAACCCATCAAGGTTGCATAAGTTGTGATGTGCTTTGTGCAGTAACGGTAACACTGTTCATAAGCAACGCAATTAAGGAAAACAGAGCTGGTAAAATCATCTATTGTTAATGGTGGGATTTCAAGGACTCCATTTCTGAAGTCAATGTCCAAGAAGCTGCTGGTCTTCCTTGGCTTGAACTCAATGCCAGCTAGATGCAGCTTTTTGGCGGACGGGATCAAATGAAGGAATGGACTAATCTCTCTTGTTGTTTCTTGGGACGAATTTATAAAGCTCAAACGAAATAAATCTAACAAATGTTTTGCTGTAAGATTGTAGTATTGCTCCAGGACTTCAACATCTCTTTGCACCATATAATTGAAAAATTCCAGGGCGAGTTTGGCCAAAGTCGGAGGATTGTTTCTTCTTGAACCCAATACAGTAAGCTCGAACAAAGCCTCAAGAACAAAATACGGAATTTGGTTCTCAAGCCTGAGAAAATCCCGAGTGAAAAAAGGAAAAACCCATGACATAGTAAAAATTGGGTCGTCAAGATTACCTTGTACTAACTTTCCGACTATGGAGAAAAGCTCAATAACAAAACATCCGTCAAGAACCATCATTTCAATGAGTTCACAGCTCTTGATTTGAATAGTCTCCGAATAACACTCTCTTATCTGTTGCTCCATTGATTTTATGACCGCATACAAGTCCTTGAATTCAACTCCATGGTTTCTTGTTCGGTTGAGCATAGCGCCAAGATATTTCCATTTGTGTTCTTGGATCATCTTCAGGTGTTCTTTGCCGTGGTGATAAGGGCCCATGGAGACTATACGGGGTTGATAAGCCTTCTTGTTGATTTCAACCAAGCTCTGAGGGACTCTGAAGATGCAACAAGATTTCTTACCAGCTAATTTGCTTAATAACCGAGGACTTTGATTGACTTTTACTTCCATTGACGCCAACCATTCTCTCTCGTCTTCCATGACTCTGATATCTTGATAAGATTGTCCTCCATTTTCACCATCTTCATTGCGGAGGACATTCATTTCTGTTTTCATTTGTGTTTCTTTTAACAATCTAGAAAATCTGTTGAGGTTTGTGTTTTCAACACATTGCCAAGAAAATTAGTATATTATTCCTAAAATTGGATCTTGTGTTGACTGACTTTCACAGTAACAGTTGATCGGGAAGAATTATACATTTCCCTTCTATTATATTGCGTACGTTGCTTTTGAAAGAGATGGATGGAGTAAATTCTTACGCTCAAATTAAAGTGAAAGACCACTAGCTGGCTCCCATATGTGCCAAATAATTGTCCTTTTTTTAATTGACAGCAGATTCAATTAATTTTTTTTTTTTTTAATGCATCACCATCTACAGTGTATAAGACTCATTCAAAGAATATATTAAAATGCCACTATTATCCAAAAGCCTAATGGCCGACTGGGTAAGACAATTTTAATCATGTATGGATTAGGATTACTAGGAAATTGCTCTAAGATCCAACCAATTACTTTGATTTCATAATGTGACATATATTTTCCTACAATATCAATCTATTTAACTCCTTAGTAATTGTAGATGAATATTGTCCGTCTCTTCCATTCTTTGGCCAACTTTTGATGCTCACAAAAGTAATTTAATAATTGGAGGAAATTGCAAAAACCTTGATTGATAAACCCTTCATTAAAAGGCAGCCAATCATTTTATGATATTAAAAAGAGTAATAATAAACCCACAAATTTTTTATACAAACTTTATCTAACAAACTTATGTGGCAAAAAATAATTAGGTGAATTTAAATTTAAAATAAACTTTCACACAATCATCTTTTACCAAGTAAGTTTATATAAAAAGATTATGGGTGTAGTATTATTGTATTGGAAAGATCTCATACATGAAACTACATATGGTGAGAATTTGAAGTCGTTTCTTATTCTTAACCTGAGTGGTGGGAAGTCTTTTGATATGTTGATTGGTGGTGGACAATTGACATATGGGTAGAGATTTTTGCTACCTATCACTCCTATATCATATCTGTTATGCCTGGGAAATCAAGGGCTGACGTGGGAAATCACGTGATGAAGTGTGACCTGCTCCCGTCAGAACGGTAAGCGGACGTCAGACCTACAAGACATCGTGGAGCTCCCACGTGTCCATTCCCTGCTCCAAATCACGTGAAATCAGCTTGGAAGGAGGATAATGTGACATAAAGCCGGATTTAGTCCTGACATTCACACCAACCCATGGATTTAATGATGATTACTTGCATTCATCTCGCTATAAAAAGAGGAAGACCCCTTCATTAAGGGGGATTCGGCTATTTTTTGCACTCTGAACTAACTCTCTCTCTCTCTTGTAAACTTTGTATTTATTTTTCCTAATCATTTGTAAGTCAGTCCGCTGTTGCGACCTGATCCACAATACTAATACAAATCAGTGGACGTAGGACTTGCTACCTTAGCATCCGAACCACTTTAAAAAGCTCTCATTGCATTTATTCTACATTCTGTCCATAATCACGTGTGTCTCTTGACCAATCAACGTAATGCACGTGTCGATTAGTTGGTGTTAAATTCCCGCATCAATAGTTTGGCGCTAGAAGGAGGGCCCAGATTTAGTGTTCATCCTTCATCAGGAGAATCCCTAACCTACTGGTCCTACAGCAGCAAATGGCCCGCCAATCTGAACCTGAGCAAGCCAACTAGCGCGCTGAGGGAGTCCCCCTGACCCAAGGGGATACCTCTTCCAGAATACTTTCAGTTCCGCAAAATGCTGCGGTAGATATCCTAGCAGCTTCGCAGCTCGACCCCGCCATCAGAAGCTACCTGGAGAGGTTCGACAACACCCTCCAAACAGTCAACCAAAGGCTGGACCGTTTGGACCAAGGCGTGCCATCCAAAATAGTTGGGGCGGTACAACCGCCAAAAACGCCTACAGGTCGCGCGAAAGCGCGGCAAGAGGAAATAGCCCATGCCGCGAGCACTGCAACGCGTAGACGTAAGGGTAAGCAAGTGGTAAAAAGCAAGCCTACGGGCTCCAAAGGGCCAGCGAACACAAGCCATGCCCCAAGCAGGGTGCTAGCAAAGCTGAGACTCAGCGAAAAAGTGAATCACGAGCTGTCCCACGCCACGTCGCAGATGAACCCAAGCAAAAGTGCCAAGCAGGACGATTCTTATCACCGCCAGCAGAGCAATCCCCGATCGCTATCATGCGGGTGGTCCCCACACCTCGCGAGGCGGTCCATACCACTGCGAGGGTCGTGAAAATACCCCGCACCATCCATCGCCTTCACACGCCTCTAGTCAGCGTGTGCCGAGAGAGGTCGAAAATGCCAGCCGAGGCGAAGAGGAGTCCAACCTCCAGACTTTCCTGAACCGTAATCGCGAAGGCCGGACTCGTATGGGTGAAAGCAATCCCCAATTGGCTCCGTTACCACAAATTGAGGAGCTGCAGCGAGCTCTGGACAGGCTGAGAGAGCAGCAAAATGAGCAGTCCCAGGTCGCCTCTGCATCCCCTTTCTCTCCCGAAGTGCTAGCTGCTCCACTCCTACCAGGGTTCAGAATGCCCGACATGCGGCCGTTTGATGGGAACCATGACCCGCATGATCATTTGTATGAGTTCAACGACCTGATGGAGCGCCACCAGGTTGCGGATATTGCAAAATGCCATTGTTTGGCCGTGACGCTGACTTCTCATGCCAAACGGTGGTTAAGGTCGCTCCCAGCGGGATCAATCAGTTCGTGGCCTCAGATGAGCACGACGTTCCTACGTCATTTCTAAGCAAATCGAAAATTTTTGATGCCTTTGAGCTATCGCAGCAACATAAGGCAAGAAAGGGACGAATCCCTACAATCCTACATCGACCAACTCGTGGATGCCACCTCGGGGCACGAGCTGCTAAGTTTCATGGACGCATACTCGGGATACAATCAAATCCTGATTTATGGGCCAGACGAGGAGCATATGTCCTTCATTATAGACCGGGGGCTCTATTGTTACAAAGTTATACCTTTCGGCCTCAAGAATGCTGGCGCGACCTACCAGAGGTTGGTTAACCGAATGTTCTCCGACCAGATCGAAAAAACAATGGAGGTCTATGTGGATGACGTGCTGGTCAAATCCCAGGTCGCTTCAGAACACATCGCACATCTCGCTGAGATGTTTAACATCCTTCGGCTGTACAGAATGAAGCTGAATCCTCTCAAGTGTTCATTCAGAGTATCGTTAGGAAAGTTCCTGGGGTACATAGTTAATCAGCGAGGGATAGAAATAAACCCCAAGAAGATTCAAGCTCTGCTCGATATGGAAAGCCCGACCAGCTAAAAACAGGTCATGAGTCTAAATGGGCGAATCGCGGCACTTAGTCGCTTCATATCGAGGCTAACTGACCGCTGCTTGCCATTTTTCAATGTTCTGAAGGCTAATAAGAAATTCGAATGGACTCCCGAATGCGAACAGGCGTTCCAGAGTATAAAAGAACAACTAGGGAAGCCACCTCTCCTCTCTAAGCCTCTTCCGCAAGAAATCCTGCTCCTCTATTTGTCCGTCTTTCAGTTCGCAGTCAGTGCAGCTCTAGTACGGGAGGAGGAAGAGGCACAATGGCCAGTATACTATGCGAGCAAGTGCCTGTCGGATGCCGAGATGCGGTACCCGGAAATGGAACGATTAGCCTATGCTCTACTGATCACGTCCAGAAAGTTGCGACCTTACTTCCACGCCCATACGATCCATGTAATGACTAATTACCCCCTCATACAGGTCCTTCAGAAACCAGAAGCCTCGGGTAAACTGCTCAAGTGGGCCATGGAATTAAGCCAGTTCGACCAGAAGTACAAGCCCAGATCGACCATCAAAGGGCAAGCTGTTGCCAACTTCATCTCAGAATTTTCCTATCTCCCAAGCGAGCAACAGCCTAGCGAAGTCATGCAGGAAAGTATTCAGAACCTATCGACCTGGAACCTCTACGTCGACGGGTCATGGAACAGAAAAAGAGCCAGTGTGGGTCTTCTCCTTTTAAGCCCCGAGGGGGCTCGAATTCATGATATTCTCCGGTTCGAGTTTAAAGCGACCAACAATGAGGCTGAGTACGAAGCCCTGCTCGCCGGGTTGCGACTTGCCAAAGAAATGAGCGCAACCGCGATTAGTGTCTACAGTGACTCCATGCTGGTCGTCAACCAAATTTTAGGGGAATATCAAGCAAAGGAAGAAAACATGGTTCGCTATCTGAAAGAAGCTAAGGCCGCCCTTGGGTCATTCGAACACTTTGAAATCACTCAGATTCCCAGAGATATCAATTCTATAATGGACGCCCTAGCAAAGATAGCCTCATCGTTGGATTCAGAAGCTCCAGATAACATTCCTGTTCAGCTCGTCGATGCTCCAACTATCAGCTCAACCGAACAGGTTGTAAATGTGGCTCAATCGGACTCCTGGATGACTCCCATTTTCCAGTACCTCAAGGATGGGACCTTGCCAAACGACAAGGTCGAGGCAAGGGTCCTACAAGCAAGATCTGCTTGTTACACACTCATCGGGGACCAGTTGTACAGGAGAGGATTCAGTGCCCCTCTCCTCCAATGTGTAACCACTGAAGAAGCAGACTACGTCATGAGAGAAATTCACGAAGGGATCTGCGATAATCACACAGCTGCTCGATCTCTTACAAACAAGGTTGTTCGTCAGGGGTATTATTGGCCCCAGATCTAAGAAGATACGCACAATTTTGTCAAGAAATGTGGCAAGTGTCAACGGTTCGCGAGCATTCCGTGAGCCCCCTCTCACGAGCTGATAACGATGTCTAGCCCCTGGCCATTTTCCATGTGGGGGATCGACCTTATTGGTCCCACGCCAGTCGGAAAAGAAGGAGTCAAGTATGCCGTGGTCGCGGTAGATTATTTCACAAAATGGGTGGAAGCTGAACCGCTAGCCGCGATCATAACCAGAAAGCTGAAAGACTTCGTTTTCAAGAACATAGTGTGCCACTACGGAATTCCTCACACCCTCATTTCGGATAATCGAAAGCTATTCGACAACGAGGAGTTCAAGCACTTCTGCGACAAGCTGGGCATTCATAAAAAATTTGCCTTAGTCGCCAGACCACAAGCAAATGGCCAAGTTGAAGCTGTCAACAAGGCCATCAAGCACACTCTAAAGGCCAAACT